GTTTTTGGAGGTTCTTGGAGTTGGAAAGGAGATGGAAGCAGCTCATGATCGAAGAAGATGTCAGAAATTGAGCTTTTGCAAAGTCTGGTCCATATCGAGCGGAACACCCGTGGAGTATACTCGATGTAAGCAGCAGGATGTGAGGAAGAGGATCAGCATTAGGAGTCTAAGCCGTTGGTCTGCATCGAGGTCCAGCATCGATCAAGGAAGCCGATACGCACTGCACGAGCCATATCGAGGTCGCATATCGAGCAGAACACCATCCGTACCACCTCGATGCAACTCATCCGTGTATTGACCATTGACTTTTGTTGACCTTATCTTATTTTTAGGTTTTTTATGCTTCTTTTGGTTCCATAATATAAAAAGGAAGCCACAAAACATTATATTTATCCAAGTTTAACTTTTCAACAAAAACTCTCTCTTCTCTAAACTTTAAAGGGCGATTGGCCTTAGAATCTTTATTTTTAATTAATTTTGCATTTTTATGGTTTAATCTAGTCTCTTGATCATTGTTCTAGCACCTTGGTAGTTTAGATTTATAATCTTTGCATTTTAATCTCATCTAGTCATGTTTAACTCTAAAAAAATGGGATTAAACATGGTTAGTGAGTAGTCTACCTTAGATTTAGGGTTCTAAGTAGGGAAAGTAGTGATTAAGATGTGATTAAGGGGTGATTATGCTTATTTAACTGTTCTCTGTTGTCTCCTTCTCTTGCAAAGTGATTATTATTCATATAGCTTGCTCCTTTTGATTGAATATGGTATTGATTGATGCATATGGTTCACTAAATGGCTTGTTATCTCATCTCTAAGCATGGTTCGCTTATTTGGCTTGATAGTTTGGTTTGGTCTACATTTCCTTTGTTCAGTGACACCAAAGTAATAGTTCACCATTGCTAGATGATTCGCTTAGGGCTAGATAATGCTGGTTTTGAGTTTCTTGCTTGATGGTTAGATAGTATGCATTGAAAGATCTTGCCTTTGTTTCATTCCTGCTCATTGCTTAGCATTGTTAGGATGTTGCAGCTGTGTGTTTAAGTTCATATTCTATATTGGTGCTTAGCTAACTAGGTCCTTATTGGTTCACAAGATTGATAAGTTGGTCTGAATTCTTGCTTGTGTGAGAGAATAATTGCTTGATTAGTACATCTCCTAGGCTAGAATGGTTCTGTTCTTTATGCCCATGGTTGAAGAATACGCAACACAAGTGGGTTTGACACTTCAATCTTGTTGAATATGAACTGCTTATTGGTGCCAAGTTGGTTCGTTTTAGATACCTTGTCTAGGAGCACAAGATTGAGAATTGCTTGCTTATGAATGCTTGATGCTTGCCTTTGTTAGAAATCCCCATTTTCACTCTTGAAAACCACTATCCCACAATTGCTTAGCACCTTGAGTCTTGCTTTTAATCAATTGTCTTTAATATCATTTTGCTTAGTTCTTGCTTTAGTTAGCATTCCTGCTTAATTCCTTCTTAGTCATTGCTTAGTTCTATTTACATGCATTTAGTTTCTGTCTTCTTTCCATTGCATTGTTAGGTTGTTAGACATGTCGTTGTTCAATCAAAACCCCATCATTGCTTAGCTTATGGCATTGTTTAGATCTCATCTTCCACAAATCAATTAATACCTGATCCCTATTCTACAACTGATTAGAGGCTAAGATATTTGGTTCAAGGCCGAAATCATCTTGTTTCACTGTCCAGAATATTGAAGAATATATAACTTCTTCAATCTATTCTTCATTTCTTAAATTTTCTACTCATTAAAATACAGAAAAATGGTTCAAAGGGTTGTTTTTAAATTTCTTTCTTAATTCTTTTAACAGGAAAAAAAAATGGTCTGTTTTCACATATGTTTCTTGTGAGTGTATCATTTTCAATATTAAAATCTTGTTTTAGAATATACAAGATAATTATTTTATTATAAAATTGGGATTCCAAAAACATTTTAATTTTAATAACAAAATAATCATATTTAAGTAATTTCCTTAATATATTTTGATAAATTTATATAGTTATTAACTTATGATATTATTGAGATCATATATTTACATTTAAATTCTCTACAAAAATATACCATGCTTCATTAAATTTTGATAATTTTTACACAAGACCTCTAATGACGTAGAATTTTATTTAAACATATTTATTATTTTACAAATTACAAAGGTTATAAAATTCTTATATTGATTGAATAAGATAAGTGTTATATATTAAGATGATGCTGAATTTACGAGGGCAATAATTATTAATCTTTCTGAAGAAAATAACTATTTTGGCACAAACCAAACTGATGTTTTAGATTTGTTTTTGCCCATCGTTACCTGGTTATATTTCATGACATTATTACAAGTTACTAAAACCAAATTTCATACATGAAACATAAATCATAATAACAGTGTACAAAAGTCCTCCAAAAGAAAAGACAAAATTCATATATATCCCCTTCAATGTGTTTTATCAATGCATTATCAAATGTTATATACTATTTTTAAATAGTCATTAATTTGCAAATTTAAAACAGCAGTTAAGTAAAACTGTAACTCATATACACTTGGCTATTAAAACTCTATTCCGATCAATATCGCTATTTCAGTTTTGTCTCCTATAAGAAAGCTAATATTTTCATTTCATGAAGCGAAAACATACTTAATAAAACTCGTAATAGTGGAATTCTTCCTTATTTCAATAGTCTCCAACATATTTATCATGTCGATCAAATTTGTATTTTTTCTTCTATTGGCTATATGCATTTCAGTTTCGTGAATGCTCAACAACCGCAATTTTCACCCCCATTGCTATTTCTGTTTCCATTCCAACCGATGCCAGGAATGCCCAACATCCCCAAATGTTTGTCAACATTGATGAATATTCCAAGATGCATTGCAGAGATCTCTCAGTCTATATTAACCGGCAAATTTGGCAACCTAGGTCCAGCTTGTTGTAAAGCTTTTCTAGAAGCTGAAGCCAACTGCACACCAAAACTTCCGTTCATTCCAGTTTTTCCTCCTTTGCTAAAGCAACAATGCTCCCAAATTTCTGGTCCTCCAACAACACTGTAGGAAATTAAAACTAAAATTATTAGTTATGCGAAATGCCATTTTGATATTAGGTTTATTTCTACAATTTTATGGAACAAAAATACCATAACTAACGATCTTATAATTAATATTCATGTTCTGTTGTTATATGTCAGTTAGTTATATAATTCCTTAAGTATTTAAAATATCCGTAATAATAAATATTATTAAAATTAAAGAATCTAACAAGTAGTCAGCGGTACCATTTGATTAATGAATGTATCTTGAGTAGATGTAACATTATTTGATCGATTAACAAATTATTTAAATTTTTGTATGTTTAATGAATCCTACATTGGAAATCTTGAAATGTTTTCAAAGGTTTCATATTCAATATTTATTATGTTAGATCTCCTTATTTCATATCTCAAAAGCTGTCCAAGATATTAAAGAATATATAACTTGTTCAATCTATTCTTCATTTCTAAAATTGTCTACTCATTAAAATATAGAAAAATTATTCAAAGGGTTGTTTTTAGCTTGCTTTCTTAATTCTTTTAACAGAAAAAAACAGTTTGGTCTATTCTCACATTTGTTTCTTGTAAATGTATCATTTTTAATATTAAAATCTTGTTTTAGAATATTCTAGATAATTATTTTATTAAACAATTGGGCTTCCAAAACATTTTAATTCTTAATAACAAAATAATCATATTTAAGTAATTTCCTGTAATATATTTTGATAAATTTATATAGTTATTAACTTATGATAATATTAAGATCATATAATTACATTTAAATTCGATGAAAAATATATGTTTTATTAAATTTTGATAATTTTTACACAAGACCATCTAATGACGTAGAATTTTATTTAAACATATTTATAATTTTACAAATTACAAAGGTTATTAGATCCTTATATTGATTGAATAAGATAAATGTTATATATTATGATGATGTTGAATTTAAGAGGGTAAAAATTATCAAACTTTCTTAAGAAAATAGCTACTTTGGAACGAACCAAACTGATGTGTTAGATTTGTTTTTGCTCATCATTACTTGGTTATATTTTATGACATTATTACAAGTTATAAAAACCAAATTTCATACATAAAACATAAACCATAATAACAGTGTACAAAAGTCCTCAAAAAGAAAAGACAAAATTCATATATATTCCCTTCAATGTGTTTTATCAATTATTTTTAAATGTTCAATAATTTGCAAATTTAAAACAGCAACTGAATAAAACTGTAACCCATATACACTTGGATATTAAAACTGTATTCCGAATAATATCTCTACTTCAGTTTTATCTCCTATAAGAAAGCTAATATTTTTATTTCATAAAGTTAAAACATACTTAATAAAACTCGTATTAGTGGAATTTTTCCATATTTCAATAGTCTCCATTATATTTATCATGTTGATCAAAAGTGTATTTTTCTTCTATTGGCTATATGCGTATCAGTTTCCGTGAATGCTCAGCAACCACAATTTTCACCTCCATCCCTAATTCTATTTCCAATCCAACCGACGCCAGAAATGCCCGACATCACCAAATGTTTGTCAACATTGATGAATATTCCAGGATGCTTTGCAGAGATCTCTCAGTCTATACTAACCGGCAAATTTGGCAACCTAGGTCCTGCTTGTTGTAAAGCTTTTCTAGAAGCTGAAACCAACTGCATACCAAACCTTCCGTTCATTCCAGTTTTTCCTCCTCTGCTAAAGCAACAATGCTCCCGAATCGCAGGTCCTCCAACAACACTATAGAAAATTAAAACTAAAATGATTAGTTATGTGAAATACTATTTTGATATTAGGTTTACTTTTACAATTTTATGGAACAAAAAGACAAAAACTACGGATCTTATAATTAATATTCATGTTCTGTTATTATAAATCAGTTAGTTATAAAATTCCTTAAGTACTTAAAATATTTGTAATAATAAATATTATTAAAATTAAAGAATCTAACAAGTAGCCAGCGGTATCATTTGATTAATGAATGTGTCTTCAATAGATGTAACATTATTTGATCGATTAACAAATTATTTGAATTTTTTATATGTTTAATGAATCACACTTCAAAGGTTTCATATTCGATATTTATCATGTTAGAGCTTCTTATTTCATACCTCAAAAGCTGTCCAGGATTTTGAAGAATACATAACTTCTTCAATCTATTCTTCATTTCTAATATTGTGTTTTCATTAAAATACCGAAAAATTATTCAAATGGTTGTTTTTAAATTGCTTTTTTAATTCTTTTAACAGGAAAAAAATAAATTGGTCTATTCTCATATTTGTTTCTTGTAAATGTATCATTTTAAATATTAAAATCTTGTTCCAGAATATTCTAGATAATTATTTTATTAAAATATTGGGCTTCCAAAAACATTTTCACTTTAATAACAAAATAATCATATTTAACTAATTTCCTTTAATATATTTTGATAAATTTATATAGTTATTAGCTTATGATATTATTGAGATCATATATTTACATTTAAATTCATTAAAAAAATATTATTTTTTATTAAATTTTGATATTTTTTCACAACCTAATGACGTAGAATTTTATTTAAACATATATGATATTTTAGAAATTACAAAGGTTATAAAATTCTTATATTGATTGATTAAGACAAGTGTTATATATTAAGATGATGCTAAATGTAAGATGGCAATAATTATCAAACTTTCTTAAAACAAATAACTATTTTGGCACGAAACAAAATGATGTTTTAGATTTTTTTTTGCCCATCGTTACTTGGTTATATAGTAGAACCTCTATAAATTAATACTCGATAAATTAATAATCACTGTAAATTAATAATTTTTGCCGGTCTCAAGTCGGGCCACTGTAAAAATTAGCAAATTTCGATAAGATAATAAGATAATAATTTTTTTGAAACTCCTATGTAAAAATATAGTCCCAATAATTAGATAAATTAATAATTATATATTTAAGCATATATAAATAATATAATATAGTAAAATATAATTATATTATTGTTTCAAGTTTATAAAAAGTATTTGACTTATTTTTCAAATTCACTGATATGATATTTTCTCAATAAATTTTACATTATTGAAAATATTGTTTTTTGTTTTTTGACAAATATTTTGAATTTGAACTAAAATATCTCTCTATAAATTAATCAAATATTAATTTCTCGATAAATTAATAAAATATTAATTTCTTGATAAATTAGTAATTATTATTTTATCGATTAATTAATTACTCTATAAATTAATAAACTTTTTGAAGTCCCAACATTATTAATTTATAGAAGTTTTACTGTATTTCATGACATTATTACAAGTTATTAAAACCAATTTCATACATGAAACATAAATCATAATAACAATGTACAAAAGTCCTCAAAAAGAAAAGGCAAAATTCATATATATCCCCTTCATTGTGTTTTATCAATGCATGATCAAACGTTATATATTATTTTTAAATATTCATTAATTTGCAAATTTAAAACAGCAAATGAGTAAAACTGTAACTCATATACACTTGGCTATTAAAACTGTATTCCGATTAATATCGCAACTTCAGTTTTGTCTCCTATAAGAAAGCTAATATTTTCATTTCATGAAGTGAAAACATATATAATAAAACTCATATTGGTGGAATTCTTCCCTATTTCAATAGTCTCCAACATATTTATCATGTTGATCAAAAGTATATTTTTTCTTCTATTGGCTATGTGCATATCAATTTCTGTGAATGCTCAGCAACCGCAATTTTCACCTCCATCTCTATTTCTATTTCCATTCCAACCGATGTCAGGAATGCCCGACATCACCAAATGTTTGTTAACGTTGATGAATACTCCAAGATGTTTTGCAGAGATCTCTCGGTCTATACTAACCAGCAAATTTGGCAAGCTAAGTCCTGCTTGTTGAAAAGCTTTTCAAGAAGCTGAAACCAACTGCATACCAAAACTTCTGTTCATTCAAGTTTTTTCTCCTCTGCTAAAGCAACAATGCTCCCGAATCGCAGGTCCTCCTCCAACACTGTAGTAAATTAAAACTAAAATTATTAGTTTTGTGAATTGCTATTTTGATATTAGGTTTACTTCTACTATTTAGTGGAACAAAAACACCAAAAACTAGGGATCTTATAATAAATATTCATGTTCCGTTATTATATGTCAGTTAGTTATAAAACTCCTTAAGTACTTAAAATATTTGTAATAATAAATTTTATTAAATTAATTAATCTAGCAAATAGTCAGCAATATCATTTGATTAATTAATGTGTCTTTAATAGAGGTAACATTATTTGATCCGATTAACAAATTATTTGAATTTTTGTATGTTTAATGAATCACACATTAGAAATCTTGAAATGTTTTCAAAGATTTTACATTCGATATTTATTATTTTAGATTTCCTTATTTCATATCTCAAAAGCTGTCCAGGATATTGAAGAATATATAACTTCTTTAATCTATTCTTCATTTCCAATATTGTGTTTTCATTAAAATAGAGAAAAATGATTCAAATGGTTGTTTTTAAATTGCTTTCTCAATTATTTTAATAGAAAAAAACAAATTGGTCTATTCTCATATTTGTTTCTTGTAAATGTATCATTTTCAATATTAAAATCTTGTTTCAGAATATTCTAAATAATTATATTATTAAAAAATTGGGCTTCCAAAAAAAAATTTAACTTTAATAAAAAAATAATCATATTTAAGTTATTTCCTTTCATATATTTTGATAAATTTATATAGTTATTAGCTTCTGATATTATTGAGATCAGATATTTATATTTCAATTCTTGAAAAATATATTATGTTTTATTAAATTTTGATGATTGTTTCACAAGACCATCTAATGACGTAGAAATTTATTTATTAATTATTTTAAAAGTTACAAAGGTTATAAAATTCTTATATTGATTGAATAAGACAAGTGTTATATATTAAGATGATGCTGAATTCAAGAGGGCAATAATTATCAAACATTCTTAAGAAAATAACTATTTTAGCACAAAACAAACTGATGTTTTAGATTTGTTTTTGCCCATCGTTACTTGGTTATATTTCATGACGTTATTACAAGTTAATAAAACTAAATTTCATACATGAAACATAAATCATAATAATTGTGTACAAAAGTCCTCCAAAAGAAAACAGAAAATTCATATATATATACCCTTCAATGTGTTTTATCAATGCATGATCAAACGTTATAAACTATTTTTAAATGTTTATTAATTTGTAAATTTAAAACAGCAATTGAGTAAAACTGTAACTTATATACACTTTGCTATTAAAACTGTATTCCGATTAATATCGCTACTTCAGTTTTGTCTCCTATAAGAAAGCTAATATTTTTATTTCATGAAGTGAAAACACATTTAATAAAACTCGTATTAGTGGAATTCTTCCCTATTTCAATAGTCTGCAACATATTTATCATGTCGATCAAAAGTGTATTTTTTCTTCTATTTGCTACATGCATTTCAGTTTCCGTGAATGCCCAGCAACCGCAATATCCACCCCCATCTCTATTTCAGTTTCCATTCCAACCGATGTCAAGAATGCTAGACATCACCAAATTTTTGTCAACATTGATGAATATTACAGGATGCTTTACCGAGATCTCTCAGTCTATACTAACCGGCAAATTTGGCAACCTAGGTCCTGCTTGTTGTAAAGCTTTTCTAGAAGCTGAAGTCAACTGCATACCAAAACTTCCGTTTATTCCAGTTTTTCCTCCTTTGCTAAAACAACAATGCTCCCGAATCGCTGGTCCCCCAAAAACACTTTAGAAAATTAAAACTGAAATTATTAGTTATGCGAAATGCTATTTTTATATTAGGTTTATTTCTACAATTTTATGGAACAAAAATACCATAACTAACGATCTTATAATTAATATTCATGTTTCGTTGTTATATGTCAGTTATTTATATAATTCCTTAAGTATTTAAAATATCCGTAATAATAAATATTATTAAAATTAAAAAATCTAACAAGTAGTTAGCGGTATCATTTGATTAATGAATGTGTCTTCAATAGATGTAACATTATTTGATCGATTAACAAATTATTTGAATTTTTGTATGTTTAATGAATCACACATTAGAAATCTTGAAATGTTTTCAAAGGTTTCATATTCAATATTTATTATGTTAGATCTCATTATTTCATATCTCAAAAGCTGTCCAAGATATTGAAAAATATATAACTTATTCAATCTATTTTTCATTTCTAAAATTGTCTACTCATTAAAATACAGAAAAATGATTCAAAGGGTTGTTTTTGAATTGCATTCTTAATTCTTTTAACAGAAAAAAACAAATTGGTCTATTCTCACATTTGTTTCTTGTAAATGTATCATTTTCAATATTAAAATCTTGTTTTAGAATATTCTAGATAATTATTTTATTAAAAAATTGGGCTTAGAAAAACATTTTAACTTTAATAACAAAATAATCATATTTAAGTAATTTCCTTTAATATATTTACATAAATTTATATAGTTATTAACTTATAATATTAGTGAGATCATATATTTACATTTAAATTCGTTAAAAAAATATATTATGTTTTATAAATTTTGATAATTATTGCGGAAGACCATCTAATGACGTAAAAATTTATTTAAACATATTTATTATTTTACAAGTTACAAAGGTTATGATCGGGGCTTAGTGATGTCTCAAGCAAATCAGCTGGTTCTTGGAGGTTGAAGCAAAAGAAAGGAAACGCTGGCGCCACGCTTAAAAATTACGGTTCCCCGTTTTGATAACACAAAGCTTACCAAGGGTTACAACCGCACTCTTATTGGCCGCTGCATGAACCCAACAGTTCAGGAGATAAGGGCGCTCCTCTTTATGCTACCGAGAATCTGGAAGGTTGAAGAGCATGTGGTGGGAGCAGACCTTAGAATGGGGAGGTTTCAATTTGACTTTGATGATAAGGAAGATATCCAGGCTGTTTTACAAATGGAGCCATTTTATTTTGATGGATGGATGGTGGCTCTTGTAAGATGGGAGCCAATCATAGAGCTCAACTATCCGTCTGTGATCATCTTTTGGGTACGAATGATGGGAGTCCCCCTCCACTTCTGGGCTGAGCCTACATTCCGTAGAATTGGACAAGCTATTGAGAGAGTAAAGCAAGTGGATTTGGATGGAGGAAGGGTACAAATAACCATTGACGGGTTCAAAGCAATTGTCTTCGAAACAACAGTGGAATCCCATAGCAGCGAAGAGACAACTGTTATTCTTCGGGACGAGCTCTTGCATGGATACTGCCGGGAATGTCTGAGTCTATGCCATGAATCCAGCAGATGTCCTACATTGTTACTGAAGAAGGAAAGAAGAGATGAGACGCGTTATTCAGTAGAGAAACCAGATGGGGGAGAAAAGAGCTATAAAGGAGCACTTCGGGGTTCGGGAGAGAGCATGAAGGATATCACAGATCAGGAAAAACCGATAGGAGAATCCTCCAAAGGGAAAGGCAAGATAACGGAGACCCGAGAGGAGAAAAGATCCTCTCGATCAGGGGGGTTACAACAGAAGGCGAATGGTGACATATTGAGGAGATTTTCTCAACCATTACAACCTAGAGAAGACAGGAAGCGGTTCGGTGGGACTTCCAGAAGCATCCACCGATCTACAGAAGACCATAATCCTGGGTTAAGTATTATCAAGGATCAAACGGAGGAAGAAACAGAGAATAAGCATTGGGGAAGCGATAAAGACAGTCCTCCTCAACATTCTGCTAAGAAGGTTCGCAAGGGGTTAACGTTTGAGGATAACACTATGAGGATGGATAGTTTGGATACCGGGAGTAAACAAGTTTCCATGGAAGAATCTGAGAAAGCAGTTATCGCAGGAACAGAGGCAGGGATTCAGGCCGAGGAGAGAGGAGGAGCAGAAGATGATCAGCTCGTCGACTTTGGCTCTGAGTAGGAGAGGCTTATGGATGATAATTCCGGCGATTTTGATATCGCTGATTTGGAGGATGCGTTAAAGGAGGATGGTGAAGTTCAACCCACGGGTATTAATAGTATTGAAATCAAGGCGCTTCATATTGATCAAGGGGAACCGCCCACTCAGAAATGGACGTGAGGATAATCTCCCCAATGAGAGGTTGAAGGCACCGGTAAGAGCAGGCACAAAGAAGAGACTCTTTAAGTCTTCATTTGTTGTGGGAGGGGGGTCGAGGAAAATAATGCGTGGTACAACACCAAAAAAGAAGGGGAATTTAAAGGAGATTAAGCGTGGTGGAGAGAAAGAGATGGTGCAACAGAGGAAGGGAGAGGCTCTGATGGAGGGGCAGGGCAATAATTATAAAATTTAATGCGAATTTTGAGCTGGAATTGTCAAGGTCTGAGGAATAGGTACACAATAAGTTATCTCAAGGAGGTTTGGCAAAAATTCAGACCGGATTTTCTTTTCTTTCTGAAACAAATCAGTGTTTTAATTTTGCTGAGCAATTTTAATTGCATTTTGGTTATGATTTATTGTTTACGGTCGATCCGTGTGGTGCCAGTGGAGGTCTGGCATTGTTTTGTAATAAAAACATTGATGTAAAAGTTTTATTTTCTAATAAAAGGATTATTGATATAGATGCCTCTTTTGAAGGAAATTAATCTATATGTCCTTTGAATATGGTGACCCAATTCAAAAATTAAGGGATCAAGTTTGGGAGCGGATAACAAGAAATGGGTCATGGTTCTTAATTGGTGATTTTAATGAAATCACGGGAAATCATGAAAAGCAGGGAGGAACAATTAGACAAGCGTCGTCCTTTATTGAATTTAATACAATGATTAGAATTATGGATTAACTGATTTTTCAAACCTAGGCAACACATTGTCTTGGAAGGGTATACGTAATGGGCAAAATATCCGATGTAGACTGGACAGAGAACTTGCAACGGAGGAGTGGTACGACCTATATCCATACTCATATGTGGAATATTTGAGAATGATAGGCTCAGATCACCGGCCTATTGTAGCAACAATTGAATCAAAAAATATTAAACGGAGGACACAATTTCGGTTTGATTAGAGATGGATTGGTCAGGAGGGACTAATGGACGCCATAACACGAGGCTGGCAGGACCATGTTGTTCATCCAGTCTTTTCTCTGGCGGATAGGATAGTTACTTGTAGACATGAAATTTCCAAATGGCACCAAAACTGTAAACCATTTGGCAGAGATAAGATTGAAGAACTATAACAAACATTGGAAGAAATGCAGACAGATGATATGTATACCCAAGCAGAGCTTAACGAGATTACTCAAAAGCTTAGGGAAGCATATCGGGAGGAGAAGGAATACTGGCAACAGAAAAGCCAAAATATCTGGAACAGATGTGAGGATCTCAATACAAAATATTACCATGTCATTATAAAACAACGGAGGACAGTTAATAGGCTAGTCGGGCTACATGATATGGGTAACTGGGGAAAAGCAGGTAGAGAAAGTGAAAGTATAATATTTTTCAGAACTGTTTAAGTCCACCTTACCAACGGAGTTTGAGAATGTGTTGGGAGAAATAGATTCAGAAATAACGGAACAGGAAAATGAGGAACTTACAAAATCAGCAATGGAAATAGAAGTAAAGGAGGCGTTATTTATGATGCATCCAGATGGTATGACTGCATTTTTTTTTCAGAAATCTTGGGATATCATTAAAGGCGATGTTGTAAATCAAGTGAATCGATTTTTTGAGTCAGGGAATTTTGATAAGAGACTTAATTTGACAAATATATGTCTGATCCCAAAAATAGATAGACCAACCAGGATGACAGAATTATGGCCCATAAGTCTTTGTAATGTAGGATACGAGATAATATCCAAAGTCTTATGTCAACGATTACGAAAATTATTACCAAGATTAGTATCGGAAACACAATCGGCTTTCGTATCAGGGAGGCTCATTTCAGATAATATCCTAATAGCACAGGAAATGTTCCATGGGTTGAGAATAAATAATTCTTGTAAGAAACACTTGATGGCAGTTAAAACGGATATGAGTAAGGCTTACGATCGGGTGGAATGGTCCTTTATTAGACACATACTCATGATATTGGGTTTCGAAGAGAAATGGATCTATTAGATTATGTGTTGTATTGAATCAGTCCAGTATAGGATACTAATTAATGGAAGGGCAAGAGGCAATGTGCAACCAAAGAGGGGACTTTGACAAGGGGATCCTTTATCACCTTATCTTTTTATCCTGTGTACAGAAGTGTTAATTGCTAATGTGAAGAGAGCAGAAAAGGATAGGTTACTTACAGGCATAAAGATTGCTCAGGCGAGTCCGTCGGTTTCTCAGTTGTTTTACCGGATGACAGCTTATTTTTCTGTAAGGCAACGCAATCTGAGGCGATGGTACTGTTACATATCCTATAGCAATATGAGACAGCCTCGGGTCAAAAAATAAATTTTATAAAATCATCGGTACAATTTGGACACAAGGTCTCACCGGCGACACATGAACTTTTACACAATAGGTTAGGTATTGCCAATATAGAGGGAATGAGTTCATATTTGGGGATTCTGGAAAGTCTGGGAGGCGCTAAAACAAAAGTTTTTAATTTTATTTTGGAAAAACAACAAAAACGGACAAATGGCTGGACAACGAAAATGCTATCAAGAGGAGGGAAAGAGGTGCTTATTACATCAGTACTCACAGCAGTCCCGACATACACTATATCCTGTTTCAGATTACCAAAAATTATTACTACGAAATTGACAAGCTCGGTAACCACATTTTGATGGAGGAAAAACAGACAAACACGTGGAATGCATTGGATGGCATGGCAAAAACTTTGTAAATCGAAAGCTGAAGGTGGCCTAGGATTTCGGGTGATTGAGAATTTTAATACGGCTTTTCTGGCAAAATAATTATGGCGACTCATTGAATTCACATACTCGCTATTTGCAAGGGTATTCAAAGGGAGATACATTAGGGATGGAACACCCCTGGATCCTATAAGGTCGTATTCTCCGTCTTATGGATGGAAGAGTATAATAACTGCTTGATCTCTGGTACAAAAAAGGCTTATCAAAAGAGCTGGGCCAGGACACTCCATTTCAGTATGGAATGATCCATGGATTCCATCCTCACGCCCGAGATCAGCTACATGCAAAGGGTTTAAATATTATCCTGAGCTACCAATCAATCAACTAATTGACCCTCAAACTGCAACGTGGAATATCAACTATTGGAACAACTGATAATTTCAAAGGACATTCCTTTGATTATGGGATTGGCAACAACACGAGAACATCGTCAAGATATTTGGGGCTGGAATTTTACTAAGACGGGAAGATACACTATCAAATCGGGATATCTAACAAAGCAAATATACCCAAATAAGGAATCCTCAAGGACTTTTGGGCCCGATGTGAGCCACTTACAGGCAAAAGTATGGACTATTAAATGTCCACCAAAGCTAAAACATTTCATGTGGCAAGTGCTCTCTGGGTGTTTAGCGGTAACAGCACGCCTGCAAGCCCGGAGAATAAATTGTGATCCTCAATGTAGCAAATGTGGTGCTGACAAGGAAACCATAAATCATACCTTATTTGAATGCCCTCCGATAATCCAGGTATGGGCCCTTTCGCCAATACCTACGCCCATAGAGTGCTTCCCTACGAAGCAATGTACACTAATATGAAATACTTATTCTGGAATCTTCCAAAACGTTAGGATATGAAGGCGTACCCTTGGATAATGTGGTACATCTGGAAAATGCGCAATGAAAAAATATTTAAAAACAGAGACCGGGATCCCCGAGATATAGCCAAGACCGCAATGGCAGAGGCTTATGCCTGGGATGGGGCGCAGACGGAGGATACAAGGATAATCACTCCACTAGGCCCATGAAATGGAACTCAGATAAGGGATGGGATTATTTGTTATACAGACGGATCATGGAAGGAGGTATTTCGAATACAGGTTTAGGATGGTATTGTGAAGAGATAGGTACTACGAGTATATAAATGGGTGCCTGGAAATTAGGAAAGAGTCTCATACCTTTGCACACAGAATTAGAGGCACTAATATGGGCAATGCACTGTATGCTTGACAATGAGAGGAAAACTGTGAATTTTCTAACTGATAGTTCAGAATTATTGAAGATGATGTCTGACCCAAAAGGATGGCCAGTATTCTCCCTACATCTAGAGGAATTTGAAGTGACTAAGAAGGAATTTGAACTCTTCTCAATCACAGAAATCCAACGCGCACAGATCACAAAGGCGGACAAGCTAGCACGAAGTGCTCAAAATCACATTTATCATCTTTATTATGTAAACTCAACTCCCCCAGAATGGTTAACACCTTTCTAGGAGAGTTTGAGGCTGTCGACAAAAAAATAAAGATTAAGTGTTATATATTAAGATGATGCTGAATTTAAGAGGGCAATAATTATCAAACTTTCTTAAGAAAACAACTATTTTGGAACGAACCAAACTGATGTTTTAGATTTATTTTTGTCCATCGGTACTTGGTTATATTTCATGACATTATTACAAGTTATTAAAACTAAATTTTATACATGAAATATAAATCATAATAACAGTGTACAAAAGTCCTCAAAAAGAAAAGACAAAATTCATATATATCACCTCCAATGTGTTTTATCAATGCAAGATCAAACATTATATACTATTTTTAAATGTTCATTAATTTGCAAATTTAAATAGCAATTGAGAAAAACTGTAACTCATAAACACTTGGCTATTAAAACTGTATTCCGATTAATATCTCTACTTCAATTTTCTGTGCAATAAGAAAGCTAATATTTTCATTTCATGAAGCAAAAACATACTTAATAAAACTCTTATTAGTGGAATTCTTCCCTATTTCAATAGTCTCTAACATATTTATCATGTCGATCAAAATTTTATTTTTTCTTCTGTTGGCTATATGCATATCAGTTTCCGTGAATGCTCAGCAACCGCAATTTCCACCTTTATCTCTATTTCTATTTCCAATCCAACCGATGCCAGGAATGCCTGATATCACCAAATGTTTGTCAACAGTGATGAATACTCCAGGATGTTTTGCAGAGATCTTTTAGTCTATACTAACCGGCAAATTTGGCAACCTAGGTCCTGCTTGTTGTAAAGCTTTTCTAGAAG